CCTGTCGTAAATATATGTTCATATGCACTCGAAATGTTCAAACAGATTCTGAGGAAAACAAACTTGCCCCATGGCTCAGATCATCGGTGAGCATTGAATCGGAGCATCATAGGATTTGAACCATCCTGAAACCATAAGAGGCTCACGAAGACGTTCCCCAGGAGAGAATTGACGTGCTTCACAAAACAAACTCTAGGTATGTATCCCCTCGGGGAACACCTTTCGTGATTAGAATTTCATATGCACTCTTTCTGAATGTTCAAGAGGGTTTCAACTATCCTGAAATCATGAGAGGCTCACGAAGACGTTCTCCAGGAGAGAATTGAATTTAGAGGGGGGGGGTCTGTATTGAAAAATCAATTCCAAGGGGGGGGGGTGAATTGAATGATCAATTATTAGACCCGGACTCGCCGACACTTGCTTCGCAAGTCAAACTCAAGGTATCCCCTAAAGGGCTACCTTTCGTGATCAGACTTGTGCGAAGTGACGGCCCTGAAGTGTGGTGTATCGCTACACCTGTCTACGACTAGTGTTTGAAAGACTTGCCAAATGTGTGCGCCATGCACATTAGAGTTGTCCGGGCACACCTGAAGAACATATCTGGACATCGTTTGCTCAAGACACATGCTGCCCCGAAACCTCGATCGGCAGCAAAGGCTCGCCGCCGGTGACTATATCATGCACGGCCTCAGCTGAAGCACAGCTGCACGGAATCAACATGAATCATCACCCAGTATGTTGAGACACAAGACAACATGTTCTGCTGAATGGCCAAGGTTGGCATGTTTGGCATGAACAGGAATGAATGAGCTTTGGTAAACCAAGGCGCCACAAAATGGAATCCTCCGAGTTGCCTCTTTGCCCTGAGAAACCCAGAGCTGAAGGAGTCTTTGCAACACACTTATCGTATATAGGAGGCAGTTGTAGATTTGGGTATTCTGAGGTACATCATTAACAAACGAGTCATTATCATTATCATATAAGTTTTTCATTTTTTTCGGAGTGGCTGTAGGCCGTGAGGTAAGCTTATAAGTAGCTAGTAGTAGGGGTAAGTACGGACGCAGGATCCTGGCACTATTCATTTGGTTCGTAGATTTTGGGGGAAAGTTAACTGAGTGAGATGATTGAACACTTCCATCATGAGGCTGTGGGAGAATGCCAAGCCTTTCAAACTTCAAGTAGTTTTCCTTCTCTTCCATGTTGATCTTGCAAATTTTGTACCTTGAGGCAGTGCTTCGGCACCAAGAGCTTCAATTTCAGAATGGGTTGGGCACGTGGTGTCAATATCCAGCTCCAGGAGAAGCTCGTCAGTCTCCAGGTCAATCCGAACCTCATGCTGCTGTCTTGGTTTGCTAACAAGCAATCAAGTGCTTATAGCAAGTCAAAGCATATGAGAGAGTGCCAACATGCGACATGGCGAGGCATGCATTCCTCCCACCTCATCAAGGCCTCCGCAGATCACTACCACCTTCATTCCTTTCGGATCCTTTCGGATCCTTTCGGTATCCTTCGTCCCGCCTGCTCCCAAACAGTCACAAAACACATAACATTCGGCAGGTTCAAACCTCTCAAAGCCAGTTCGGCCCCACATGGACCAGGACGGAGTTGGCATGCTTTATTGAAACAGTACTATGTCTTTTGCAATCCTGGAGGCGGACAACCATGTTCAACCTACTAGTAGCGTCCTTGCTCCTAGTAGCGATGCCCTTTGTTCCTAGTAGCTTCTTTGCTCCTAGTAGTAAGGCCAGAAGCCCCTAGTAGTGTCCGTGAAAATGAATATACCTACCACCTGGGTTCCATGCAGCGCTCTCTCATCTGAAGACTGTTTCGTACCACCAATACAGAGTTTTGTGTTGGGAACTTTGGTGTTTGCAAGAGAGGCACTGCGTCCTGAACGCCTCCGACTTCTTTTCGTACCAACACACTGCTTACCCCCCGTCAAAAATGGCTCAGGATACAACCATGCCAACTGATCGTTTGATATCAAATGATTACTACCAGTAGCTTCTGGATTCACACGCATTTGATTGTGTTGCCTTGAGCTCAGTGTCTCAACTTCCTTCACACTCAAAGAACTTGCCATCAATAAAAACCAGCAAATAAGCGTGGCACTGCAGCCATTTCCATGGAGCGCAAGGTTGAGCAAATAACTGCAACAGGAGCAACAGGAATGCAACATCATTCCAGCTGGCAATCGTATGAACGTTGCGTAGATTCAAACATGACGGGCGTGCTGTCGGCTCTGGAAGTAAAAATGATCACACCCCAAACCTGACAAACTGGACATTCCATTTAAACACCAGGAGGCTTGTGCTGGGACTTACCCTTTGGATGGCTTTATATACACATTGGTCTCATTCAGTTTTGCAAAGTTTGTGACGGACCTGCGCATTGTCACTGAAGCCTGGAGGAATTCTAGCCAAATTCCCAGGCAGCTGCCTTGGAGCCACAGGTTATGGTAACATCAAGAAGCTACTAGTCACAAAGGCATTACTACTAGTAACAAGAAGCTACTAGTAGCGATATGCAAGAGGGGAAGCGTTTGCTGTCAAGCATCAAGATTCATTGGGAGTCGAGGCGAACTCTAAGCAGGTGACCCTGGCTTTACTCGTGCTAATGCACCAAGTTCAATAGCCGTCAAGGCATATCGGGAGAAACGCAACCTGCATGAGCACAGTGGATCGAAGATGCACATGTGCTCTTTGTATCCAACTCAATGGAATTGACATGGCAGGTTTTGGACTTTGCCTTTCTTGCTTCTGATGCAATTTCTGAGCTCGTCACCTTTCTGGCAAGTTCTCATATGCCATCTTCACCATGGATGTCTGACAACGCGCGTGCAACGTTTGACAACTTTTTAGCATCATTTGCTGCCAAAGTACGATTCCCGGTCCACTCATCGAGACTGAACACCTGTTCCAGTGACCCGCAAGCTGCCTGCACACTTGTAGTCTTCTTCTTGGCTGGTGCGGCATAGCCAATCATCTTTGGGTACACCTCTCAATGTGGCAAACCGGCACCGAGTTCGGGTAAACGTTACTCTGTCAAGACAGCGCCTCACGTTCTCGATATGAGAGCCAAAGTCGAAGCATATGGCAATTGCGGCCTGGTGAAAGGCGGTTCAATCGCTGGGCCGTTGATGCAAACGAAGTAAGCCAGGAGCCCCTAGTAGCTTCCTTGCCCCTAGTAGCGTCCTTGCTCCTAGTAGTAAGGCCAGGAGCTAGTAGCGTCTTGGCGGATCAAGGTTGAAACTGGAAGTAAGCCAGTCACTTGGGAGGATCTTGCACTTCTCCATGTACTGAGGCATGGTATCCTCATCGCCACGAAATGCATGTGTGCCCTAGACTGTGTGCTGAAAGGCCAACTACTCTGCTGCTGCTTATTATGACACTTGTGTAAATAGAAGAAATTGTATAGGAAACTAGAAAGCAACCTAATAATAGCGATGGCCTCCAACCTCCTATAGCATTCTTTACAGCCAGCCTTGACAGCATTCAGCGCGACAATGAGCATGTTCCTCAACCGCAAAGGAAAATCATATCACGACGCCACGCCATCTATGATGCGAAACAGCTCCTAGTAGCTTCTTGTTCCTAGTAGTATGGCCAGGAGCTACTAGTACCGTCCTTGCTCCTAGTAGCGATGCCCTTTGCTCCTAGTAGCGTCCTCTTACCCCATCATTTTGTCAAATCCCACCCAATGTTCAATTGTAAGGACGATGTACTTCAATGCTCATGTCTGTAGCACCTTCTTTACCCTACCAACGAAGGAGACATTGTTGCCATGCACTAGCTGCCACTACCGCTACCTAATTCCAACCCAGATTTCTTCCGGCCAAGAAACTTCATGACTTTGCGGAAGAAGCGGATCGTCTGGCGTGGCGTGGCACATGCGTCGATTCAGGGGAGAGTATATATATATATATACAGTATCCCCACAACTCGCTAAACCAAAAGCAGCATATACAAATGGATACAAATGGAAGGTAGAGACACAGAAATTCTCAGGCTTTGTTCTGGGCAACCTGCAGTTCATATCATAATCGAATCTCACTTAGAGAAGGATACACGTGTAACAAACGCTTGCTTATTTGTGGGGGTATTATAGTAAATTTGATATATTAACTTCTCATCATAGAACCCCGGCAAGACGCTAAACATTTGGTTCAGTGTAAACACTTTGTTCTGTGTGGGAACTCCTCCAGCGGAACTCCATTGTGACCCACTGACCCATTGTATGACTAGAAAGGGAAAGGGCTGTAGTTCATGCCACCACGTTTACGCTTACAACTTTACTTTGTAATGGTAATTATATAGTCATATCATGTCAAATCATGTCATATCTGGGTACCCTCGCCAATGTGCGAACGCAGCACTGCGAACTGCTCGACAACGCCGGTACGCCTGCGGTTTGACCTTGGACTCTTCGATAAAGATGGTCATGAGCTTTTGAACCTGAGACGCTAAGGCAGTGATCTGATGCTGTGGTGATCTGACGTCTGACGTCAGAAAAAGGGGCTTCAGATTTTTTCAGGGCATGAACTTCTTTCTTGCCAAATCTGCTGGGCATGTCCGAACTCTCCCAGCTTGGCTTCTTGTCTTGATCCAAGCTCCCTACCACCACTGAGTTCACGCGTGTTGGCTTCATTTGTGCGACCTCGCATTTTGTGACTTTACTGCAAGTGGCCTTACAACGATGTTTTAATTAGCGGCCTGTTCGTGCACCTGTCTCACAGGGTGGCATCTTAGCAAAGAATATCGAAGGACACGGCAATCAGCTACATGCTAAGTGCGCGAACTCTGCGGTATACACCGTTGGCATCAGTCACCATCAGCCTGGCTGTCCGCCGTGGGGTGGCAACTCTGTTCGCCGTCAAGCAAAGAGCTGCCCTTGGTCCAAGGACCTAAAAGACAGCATGTTGGCCCTTTTGGGGGCTGCACAATACCGCTACATGCCACTACTATTGCGCTGTTCTGTTTGGGTAAACTGGATCCAGCCTTTTGCTGCATTATGAGCACCTTTTTTTCAAGGCTCCCCTGCTCAACAGGCTGGGCTAATCACCTTGCTCTTCCAAAGCTTCATCGTAGCAAATCTCGACGCCTTCTTCGTCTTCTTCAGTCCAAGCGAACCCATCCACCTCGTTTGAAGAGACCTCTTGCTTAACGCTTTCAAACTTTTCGTGGAAGGGCGACACGAAGAAGATGGCGTAATCGATTGGAACTGTGTTGGTGGGAATAATCACGATCGGAACACATGATAGCATCTGCAGCTTTTGGATCTGCTCACTCTCATCACGTGGAGACTTCCAGGTAATTTGGACTGCTCCCCGACCCTGCCACTCCCAGTTCTTTGGAAGCATCAACTCATCATTCACCCCATTCATGAAGAGCTGTACCTGAAGCCCCTTCCCTGCACCCCGACCTTCTTTGTCTTCGCCTTCTTCTCCTTCACCTCCATCTGATCTCAGGGCAACCTTGCTCTCTCTACCCAGCTGAGAGCAATAAACAACGATCCCATCCCCGTCCTTGGCATTGCGGTTCAATGCCAGAACTGTGCCCACGGTGTAGAACCAGCTCTTCATGGATCGAAGGAAAATGCAAAAAACTGATCTATCCAACTGCTCTTGGCACCTCCGAGAGTTCAGCCTCTTGGTGTTGCAAATCTGCACCTGTGAATAGTCCAAGGATGAACAAGAAACGGAAGGAACTGTTGGGAACACGAGAGGATCACTTGATTACTCGCTTGGTTTCAAAGCCAAAACACACACACACACATGGAAGCTTCAAAGGATTCAGAAGGACTATCCTTGATCTGAGATACCTCCTCTTGAGCTTCTTCTCGGGTCTGGAAATAGCGAGTTTCTTCCCCTTCTTCACCTTCCTTAGCTTCCAGTTGACGGTCCAAAAGGGCACAAAGGACCCGATGGACCATGACGTCAGGGTACCGTCGAATGGGAGACGTAAAGTGCGTGTAGTAATCGAAGTTCAGGGCAAAGTGGTGCGGACACACCTCGTCTTCACCCTCATCTGCACCATAAACAAAGTACTCTGCCTGCTGCATTCCAGCTCGCATGATCATCATCTCCACACACAAGCCAAGCATTTTCCCATGCGTCTCGTAGATCTTTTGACAGGATCGGTAGATCGCTGTAGCATTGCTCATATCAAAGTCCCGGATTCCCAGATTCTCGCGCATGAGCTTCTGCAATTGTTGAGATTTCTTCACCTCGGGAGGCTTGTGATTTCGTAACACCGAGAAGTCTGAGAGCTCAGAGTGAGCCAAACGAGTGGCTACACAGCGGTTAGCCAGAAGCATCAGCTCCTCAATGACCCAGTGAGAGGCACTATGGGACTCCAGGTGGTAACCGGTAGGAATTCCATCTTCGCTGTTCATGGTGTGGAAGATCATCTTGGTTTTGCTGATGGTCAGGGCACCCCCATTTAGCCGGCCCATACGGACCTTGCCACAAACATCGTACAGGAGCTTGATGTCATCCTTGATCTGTTGCCAAGTATAGCCACCATGTACTGAAGGTCGGTTCTCCTCTTCGATCTCGATGTCATCAATGACATCCTGTGCCTGATCGTAATTCAACCGACACACCGAGCAAATGGCTGTCTTGGCAAACCAAGGTGCTGGGTCTTGAATCAGCTGTCCAGTCCTTTTGCAAAGCCGGAAGAATGCTGAGAATGAAAGCTTGGGCTCGTTTGGGTTCAAGGAGCACAAATGGTTGCAAAGGCCATGAGGCAACATTGGCAGCACTCGACCAATCAAGTAGACTGAGGTTGACCTACGTTGTGCCTCTTGGTCGGTGATTGTGCCCAACTTGAGAAAGTGAGCCACATCTGCGATATGAACCCCAACCTCAATCTGATTTTTGTGCGGCACGTCATCTACGTGAATAGCATCGTCCAAGTCCTTAGCGGTCGCAGGATCGATGGTAAAAATCCTTGAGGCTCGTAGATCCATTCGATTAGGAACCTCAGAGCTGAAGTTCTCTTGTGCCTTTCGCACGATTTCGTCTACTTCGTCAAGCTCGTCCTCACAGAAATCCACATCGTGGCTATCCAATTCATTGGCAATCAAAGCATGCTTCTCTTCGGCTTCCAAGCTTCCTGCCCTTCCAAGGCACTGGCCTTGCAACTTTGCCAAGGGTTGCTTGGAAAACTCATTCCAGGTGGTAATCTGCAAGGGCCACAGTTGGAATGGATCAAGTTTCCCTGGCAATTTCAGCACTTTCCGGGTGACATTGTTGATCTGCAGTAGCATACCAGGCAAGCGTTTGTCTGTGGGGATTGCCTTCACAAAGTTGTCCTCTGGGAGGACTTCTTCTTTCTTTGGCCGTTCTGGATGCAAAGTGCAAACTATGACCCGACCTTGTCCCTTCTTCTCTGCAATTGCAACCTGGTTGGAAGGTTCAAAGGCGCAGCATTGGGGAATATCATGAATGAACCCACCGATTCAGTCACCTATTGAACTACCAACCACATACTCATAGCAATCAAGGGTTAGCAACTGGGTTAGCATGCAACTGCAGAATGAATCCATGGGTCCAAGTGACTACCTTGGCCATCTGGACTTCTTGCTCTTCTCGCCCCTTGGCTGCACTTCCAGCAACGTTGGGCTTCACAAAGACGACTTCCTCATCAGAGTCTGAGGCTGGAATGGCCTCTGGAAGCTCTTCCTCAGAGGATGAATCCTCGTCCCTTCGCCCATAAAGGACCGGCTGAATAATGACCTTGTCGCCGTGCACGGCACGGTTTCGGTTCTTGGATCCTCGCACCACCCACTCACGATCTTGACTCTTGGAGCCTTCGGCACGGACGAAAGCCATACTGACTTTGGTGCTGCTGGCCCGGAGTGTGCCACGGATCAAGGACCCATCTGCAAGGCCTGCTTCAATCGCTGCGGAGTCCAAGTGCGAATCAAACAACCTCCGCCGGGAAGCAGATGCATTGGTGGCTTCGTCACCTTCAAGACCCGGTGGAGGCTCCATGGCTAGTCAGCTAAAGCCTGAAGCAAACAAAGGTTGATGTCGCCTGCACTGTTCAGGACTGCTCTGCTAGTCATAGAAGTGTGTGCATTCATGGCATGTTTGGCTCGTGAAAGGCCTTTGGAACACATCGCCCCTAAAAACAATTCATATTGAGCCATGCTAAGTCTCGCTCAAAAGCGTACGTCTCGTTTCGCCAAGTCTCCAGAAGCAAAGGCGGAGCCTGAAACACTCGTGCCCATGAAACACTTGGCAGGAAGACTCCCACATCTTCTTCCCATCTCGGTTGACCGGTCGGCTGAAACAATCAACCTGACAAGGGCCGAATGGAAAGAGAACACACGAACAGCGGAATGTGCGGCCTCCCACTGTGATGAAACCTGGCTCCAGTCCAAGTCAGCAGGGACTTCTGATTTCCTTGGCTTCGATGATTCCACATGATACAGTGAAGAAGCGAAGGGCCTTGCACACTTGGAAGTCATAATTCAACAAGTGGAAGTCATTGAACATGATCTTAGTTCCACACTTCGCCAACTCCTTCCCCTCCTTCTTTGTGGTGGTTTCAGCAGTTGAAGTCGAAGTACTGGTTGCCTGCATCACCACGCCTGGCGCATTATGGCCAACAGATTCCCGAGCGTGATGCCATCATGTCGATCTTGCTTTCCTCCGTGGAAGCATTCGACCCACTTAAGTTTGCAATATCACATTATCACATCATGGTGATAGAATAAATCCATGCATGCAAATTCCTTCATCTCCATGTGTGCCCAATGTGTCGCACTGAGGCCCCGTGCAGTTGCTCCCCTTGCGGCGGCCAGCTTTCGCACTGCCTAAGTTGTGCTCGCTTTTCCACTGACTGTTAGCGACCGAGGTGAAACAATGCCAAAGTCAAGGGTGCAAGGTACGCAAAACTTGAAGCTCATGCTTGCAAGGCAACCTCTAAGTCCTTGTGCAAGCTGTGCATGACAGTATGGCTGATTATTCAGTTCTCCGACATTCTCCAAGTAGTGTTGAGACAAACTGGCCATCGGGTCGTTGGGTCAGCTTGCTTGACCCCGTTCAAACGCTTGCTTCAAGCACACAAATTCCTAGCTTTCCTGCAGGCAGCACCGAGGTCAAAAGAAGAAAAAGAACCCCATGATCCGGTTTATCCACCTGGCCAACCCAACGAGTCCCCTGCCAATTTCGTAACACTCAAGACTCAAGCCAAGTGCAAAGCCGATCACCCTGCTCACCAACGTGGAACCCAAGCTACTTTACTGGGCGTCCAACACCTGAGAGTCCCCACTGAGGTGTCTTCGACCCGCCAAGGCAAGTACACCCAAGCCCAGGCCAAAACTGGAGATGAATGCGATACAGAATCAAAACTAGCTCGCGGTCTCAGACCACTGAGAGCTTGATTCAAAGTCAAAGTCACAGAATGAACACATGTCACAAAGTGTTCGATGCTCAAAACTAGACGTTCGAAGCATATATTTACTAATAAATTTTAACATAATTCAACTATTTGGATATATTTAGACCTGCAAGCAAAGATCAAGTCTGAACTCCGTACTAAGCTTCAAAGACATGATGCGCCTGCGAGAGCTAGTAGCTAGTGCAGTAAGGAATTCACTGGTGTATTCTGACTCTTTTCGCTTCAATAATTTCATACAGTATGATTTCTTTCCTTTCTCAGATCCAAGAGGGGAAAGCTTCAGCAACAGGCAAAGGCTGAAGGAAACGGAACGTCAAATCGACCAAACATGGCCTGAGACTGTGAGAGCCGGACTGCTCCTGGTCTCACAATGGATGGACATGAGTTCACAGATTAGGCTTGTGTTGCTTTAGTGACAAAGTCTCACATAAATTGAACCAATTGCATCTACTACGACAAAGGCTCACTGATGCACAACTCCTCTGACACCAGTGAAAATGCCGGCAGGGCAGGCCTGAGTGAGATTGAAGTCATTTGCTGGGTCTTCCAGTCTTCCAAATTACTGGCTATCGGAGCTAGGAGCCCAACTTGCTGGTGATTGCAAATGTGGACGGGGCATGAGAAGGTTGCTGACTCTGCCTGGCACATCAACAGCTTCAAGCTGTGAAACTTCATGAAAGTTTATGGACAGTGGATGTGGCTGAAAAGCCGCCACCACCACCACCACCACCACTGAACAATTAACAGGAATTTACAGCCGCACTATGGTTCAAAGGCCTCATTCTCGAGCACAAAACAGAAACACATGTTGCACATGGCCGCACATCCACAAAACACGGGCTGACATGTGGCCCTCTGACAGGTGAACTGAGTCGACCCGTCTCGGCCTCAAAGTGACAAAGGCATTGGGCAAAATCGCCATGGCCTCGCATAGCACACCCACATTGAGCAGCAGAAACACATTGACATGAAGAAAACTATATTCTATAATATTATATAGACCTTTGACCTTTCTTTCTTTTCTTTTTTATTTGTTTCTAATTTATAGCAATGGCCTCCAACCTAATTGAATATACTATATACAACACATGAAGGCATTGTGCAGTCATCCTGGACCTGCGAATGTAGCGAAACGAAAGCGAGCGTCCAGCTTATCAAACCTGACATCCTTCGTGCCATAGCATCACCCATTCCACCACGCAACTCTTGTACAACAAACAATAACAAACATCACAGGATTTTTGCACCATGTAATTATACACCTCCCCTTCATGTCACCCAGACCCTGACTTCTGGTTTTTGGAACTTGTCGCACATCGATGTGAGAACTGCCATCCTTTCTTCAGGGGGACGACCTCGAGCGCTGCGTTATACACATTCAACTTCCGACCAACATCGGTTTGCCACCGTATCTTGTTGGTCTGTTCGTCTGCGCACGCGTTCTGTGTATGGTTTAAGTGACGTGCCCGCCGGAAGGCACCACACCGGGGGAGTCTATGATACCAATCCATAGTCGCGCATGGACGTCCACCGACCACCTCTGCCAGACTTTCTGGCCATAAAAGTCTTCTAATTCGAGTGTAATAATCACATCGTTTGCAAAACAGCTTCAGCGAAGCCTATCGGTGGGTTTCAGAATGAACAACGGTTGCTGGGACATATCTACAAAGGACCAAGAAATGACCAGGAGTGCGCAAAGCTTGTTCAAGTACGCTTCAACTTGGCTGCACACTCTGAGACTCTAAGATTGGCACTAGAGCCACGAGCTCGCAGCTATCAGCTGCGCCAGTTCACGTCCTCGTTTGTCTTGGTCTTGATCATACCATCTGGTGATTGTGGGAATTTGTTTTGCCGCTTGTGCTGAAAACTTGTTGCTGTCGCTACATGGTAGGTTGCAATATGTTGTAATGCTTCACAACGGTGTGACATCCATGGCGTTGCTTTCTCAAACCTCTGCAGCATTTGAGCAATTCCAAGGAAGCAATGCTTTTGCTGGACACGGGGCTGGGCAACAGGCATAACATATCGCTTATGGCTTATGACTGTCTATCTGGGTAATTATGTCATTTTCGAGGTAGTGACAATCGGGTACAACGTGAAACTAGACATTTACGGAAATAATGCGAAACAAAAGCAACGCAACTTGAACATCATGCTATCTTGGAGAGTCCATGTTTGTGTGGGCAACAGTCTCGCGTGGTTTGCGACACAGCTTCAGTCTTTTCATCAATGTGAAGCAGTGTCTCAGGCGCGGTTTTGTCGCAAGCCTGCAAACATTTGGCGCGAACTTCGCTGGACCAAGTCCGCTGACTCTCCAAGGGCCATTCAACACTCGTGACAAGTTTGCATTTGGCTACCAGAACTTCTCTCATAGAAACAATGCAAGGATCCTGTTATCACTATTAGGAGGGAGGCCATTGCTATTAGGTGGCAGGCCTGGGATTGCAGTGCTTTCATATTTTCCTCAATCTCTTGCCTTGCTTGCGGGGCGGCATGGAAGCCAGGAAAACCATCCAACCCCCGTGTCTCTTCGACGCTTCGACATATGCACTTTATACATTCTTATCATATCTTATCATGTCTTCCATTGTTTTGCAATCGTGGCATCTATATAAACATTGCACGACTTCAGCATGCACAGCATTCATCTCATGATTTGGCATTCTTGAAGGCTGGCAACGTGGATCCAACAGGTGCTCTGCTTCGAGTCGTACGGCCATACTCGGAATCTAGACAAGACGCTGAACCTTGACCGGTCCGGTGACCACGGGTGGGTGAACCTCAGGTTCTGCTCACAGCTGTTGAACAGAGTATTTCCGAAGATCGACTTGTTGACACGACATTTTCACTCGTATTTTCACTATATAGTCATCCAAGTCAAAGCAAGTACATTATATATCTGTACATGTCCTGTTGAATCTACAAAGGCTGTTGATTCGCGTTGCCTGAACATCTTCTTGCCCTGAATCTTCTTGCACAAGACCTTCATGCAGTGCATCTTCCATCTCGTAGGTTGAAAAGGTGAGTTTCACCTGGCTGAACTTGGGGAGGCTTCAGTGAGAGTACATCGTACTACAGCTGCTGATAGTTGCAGTCTCAAGATTTGGCTTATCATGGGACAAAACCAAGTGAAATAATTACCTACGTTGTGTCAAGTAGCCTCAGTATCCTCTGGGTCGGGTTGTTCATCCAAAAGCTGCTCGAAACGTGGGAGCTGATCCAGTAGCTTTTCCTGGGAGTTGGCTGACTTGCACAACATCAAGTCAAACTTGAAGAAAGGGCATGGCATGTACGCCAGGAAGTGACATATTCCGTATCCAAGGTCATGGACAAGACAGTGTACAAGACAAGCGCACATTCACAAGGAAAAAGATTCGGTCCTCCTCCTTCTGCAACTCGAGCCACGTTTTTGTGTCCAACTGGCTCTCCTTCGAACAAACTAAGAACGATGTTACCTTGCTCCAGAACAGCCTTCATACCCCATTCTGTTCTAGTTCATGTGGCAACAAACATCGGTGCTAAATACAGCAGTCGAACGCTAGGTAATCTTTGAATGCACAACGGGAATCACGGTCCCTGCGTGAGGGAGGTGCATCTGGAATGCCATCTGCATCAGGTCTGTGCTCAGATCGATATGTCGGAGGATTCGAGCCTCAAAGAAACCAACTACTTTCACACACACACACACGTACTGAAATGCATTCATATGCAAGAACCCAGGGGCCGTGAAAAATAATGCCAAAGTTTGACGAAAAGCCTTGCCGTTTCAATTGCATCCTTTGATTTCTCGACCATGATTTTCTTGCCTGCATACTTTACATTATCAAAAGGGTCGGCCACCTGCCATTTCCAACACTGTCAACCTATCAAGTGACAACATATTTTGATGCAAGCTGGCGATGTTCTGTTAACATTCATTCTTTCTCCGTCCCTCTTGTTTTGCACATGCCGACACAACCTTCCACCTTTGGTTGGCAGGCTCCCACATTCTCCAACTCCGAGTGTTCATCACGAAGGCGCTTGCAGCAAGGATCTGCACCAGGTCTGGCCAGGGTCGTGAATTGAATTGGTCCTCTCAAAATTAGGTGATGACCGCCATGGCCGTTGTCAGCGCAAAGCGATTGCTGTCTGGCCAAGAAAGAGCCAGCTTCATTCTAACTGCTACAGTAGTATAGGTCCATTGTTTGGAGGATTTCAGGTCCGTCATCTAATTCGGTGTTGGTCCCATTGTTGCGAGACATTTTGTTCAACTTTCTGGTCACATATTACTACTAAGTTCCAGCATGTTTCCGCAAGTACAGGCATTCCACACATCATTCCCGGATTGAGGCTACATGCTCTGCAGTGAGAGTATGCAAGTCCCTTTTTGCAAAAACCATCTCCTCTTTAGGCTCACTGAGGTCCAGAAGATCTTCTGCTGGATTCACAGGTGGAGAGCCATCACAAGTGCTGACTTTAGGCACTCCTCCAGCGGACCGCAGTCATCAAGTGAAGTCAAGTGCAATTTGAAGTCAATTTAATGTTGGATCCTGATTAGTAAACGGGTCTTTACAATGCTGAATGTGTCAACCATAATTCTGACCACCAGGTTTGTTTTAAGGGTCCTCTATTGTGCGATATATATAACTTTGTTTCTTCGGGATCCTATTTTTTTACTATCTGAAAAACAATTAATAGGGTGCCAAATCCTTCAGAGACCTGTGGATACTACTAAGCCAATGACTGGCTTGCTGAGATTTTTGATCTATATAGGTTTCTCTAGTTTTTCTTCGAAACTGACGGCTTCCCAAAGCCATCGATTCCCTACTCAATCCTTTTTGTAAAGATTGCTCCTAAACAAATTTTCAAGGTAGTAGACCAGGAAGGCCCCTGATCCTCAATAATAAATTTGCTTTAAGGGTCCTCAAGTGTGTACAGTTTTTTCCTCAGCAAAATAAAGAACAATACTACTAAGCCAATGGCTGGCCTGCTGAGAGTATTGATAAGTATAAGTTTCAGTAATTAGTATAAAAGGATTGCTGAGAATATCTAATTACAAAGGAAAATGACTACTATCAATTACAAAAGGAATCCTCCCAGGAGCCCAAGTTTGTTTTGGTGGTATTTTATCATAGTGGATCCCCTATTTGTTTAGAGGGGGGACCCCCTTTTACTAATCAGTATCCAACATTACTAGCGATGGCCTCCAACCTGCTAACAATGGCCTCCAGAACAAAATACCAATACAACATAATACAATTTTTAATGCAACACAACTGAACTCATTTTTCTTCTTACCCATCGTAGCATCTGCCTCGGTCGCCGTCGAAAAGAAATCCCGTGTTGCTTGGTACAGTAGCAATGGGACGGTCATGAATCATCCAATTGTATGCACATATTATGTACGTATATATATATACACAATTTGTGTGTAGATACTTATTACAGCACTTTCTAACATTGAAAGAGCTTTGGAGGGAGGACATTCAGGGAAATTTGACCAAGCAAACGCATGCACTCACGGGTCTCTTCAAGCGCTTGTGGGCTTGTACAGGAAAGACAAACTTATGTCCTGGCAGTGCAAAACAAATTATATGATATTATATGTATAGTCCACTTGCATCTGGCACTTGCGACATCTGCGGAAACCAGTCAAACAACTCACTTTCATTGCTCGCACCTGAGGGACTCGATGCCACCTCTGAGAAAGTGCACTCTTTCCTTGGTCCCAAAGCTGTTGGGTGCTTTGAGGGTGCTTCTGGTGCCTCGGAGTCTTCTTGGAAAGTGGGTCGTGGGTCAAGACCCTGCATTTCAGATGAAGTTCCAGGTTCCAATCTAACATGATGAGAATGTAGACGTTAAACCTACCACAGAATGGGGGTTTCACTCTCACAGTGTCTTCTTGGTAGGGGGTTGTACATAACATAGGCATGGTCGGTCACCATAGTCCGCGGGAAAATGGGTGTCTCTTCGCTCCACCAAACCACATCCAGCTTCGGAGGCGTCTGTGCCGGTGGCCGAATCCGAGGCACCAGTCGTGGTGCCTTGGGACTCTGAGGCACCACGCCTAGGTGCGGATCAGAAACTAGTAGCGTCCTTGTTCCTAGTAGCGATGCCAGGAGCCTCTAATAG